CCATGCTGGCCAAAATAATTATATGGATTCTCAGATCTCAAGATCCTAGACATAATCTACCAGCAACAGGAAGAATTTCCTCACTTACATGCATATCGTGCAATTAAGGTCTAAGAAGATTTATGCAGGTGCTTAAATTCAAACACTGAATAGTCATATTGAAGCCATTGTAACTACTCTCAGTGCATAAAAGTAAAGTATAAATTTTGGCAGTCTCAGGGTCTAGGTTGGGATTGAGGTTTTCGTTTGGTTTGTTTTCCTTCCCATGAATTATCCAGTATTAGTGAATCATTCAAAACAAAGGTTTCAGGACTAGATCAGCTAATACAATTCTACATAACATTTACTCACCTTATATGGCAATAACCATGTCGGTATTTAAAGTGTAATATTTAAGATGCACTTTTTACTTTCAATGAGAATTCAACCACTAATTCCCCATGATATCTTTAAAAAATTTCCCCTAAAATTGTGAAACAAAGCAATGTATGTATGCAAACACAAATGATATTGGACAACATCTTGCTATAGATTATACACATGTATATCCAAACAGTCTTTGGAATAACAGAAAGAAGAATAACATAACATATATGTCATGTTCAATAACATAACAAAAAGAAGAATTTAGCCCATGGTTTAACAGGATTATTTAATCCTCACGTACGTGTCAGATACTGCAGTGAAAAAGTAGCAAAAACAACACAAAAAAGCAATATTTGCAACCGTATATAGATTCAACAGGTCTTTACAGTGATCATACAGATCCAATATGACAGAAATAACCTAAAACTAAAGCACATTTAAAATAACCCATCCCTAAATAATGACAACATTAAATGTATATCATTTATTATTTTCTTTTGTCCTTATAGCATTGTAAAAAATGAATGCTATGATCCTTTATGGCAGTATTTCTCAAAGTGGTCTGTGAAACCACTTTGAGAAACCTGGGCCACTCCGGTGTTTTTATTTACTGGCTCCATGGCCATGGAGCCTCACGGCTCCTAGTCACTCCGGTTTGCTGTTTGCAGCCAAGGGGAGCCTTGGCCCACCTGATGCCGCTTCCTACAGCTCCCCTTGGCTGCAAACAGTGAACTGGAGCCATGAGGCTCCGTGGCCATGGAGCCAGTAAACAAACACACTGGGGCAGGCAGTTAGCAGGTTTCTCAAAATGGTTTCACAGGCCACTTTGAGAAACACTACTATATGGAATTCTGTGAAAAACTTTAGATATATTGCAGTATGAGGTCTATAGAGAAGGCAGTTACCACAAAACCATTTTAACAGTTTACATCCAAAAAACAAGAGGCCATGATTTATGCAGCCCAGATCACTGATTACAGCCAACACCATACATTTAATTTAAGAAGACTACATACACAAACAAACACAAAATGTCTTCAGAAATTGTCTCTTTTACCTTTTGCTGCTTGGAACCTTGATGATTTTCTAGGTGACAGTGTCTTCAGAGAACTGAAGGAGTAGACTAATTTTCTTCTGACTTCTGGAAAATCAGTTTTCCTTCTCCATCTTTGAGTCCACATCATTTTTAAGTTATTCTGAAACTTTGAATGTCCCAAATTAGATCCTGAAATTTGGAGACACAAAGAAGTACCTTCAATATGATACATTATCACTGGAACAGGTCCTTCTCCTTAACTCATCTTTCTAGCTCCTCTTTCTGTATCTGATTTATCTCCTTTCCTCTCCTCTTGGCCTTTAGTTCCTTCTTTTCTGCTAATTCTGCTTGCAGACATTAATTCTTCCAACTAGCCTCTTTTTTCCCCATCCCTTTCCTCTACCTTTGTCCAGCCTTGCACAGGGAAGCTGACTAGATTTATTTAGGCCAGATCTATGCTAAGAGGGAAATTTAAATTAAAATATGCAACTCCAGCTATGTTAATTACAACACCAGAGTCAACATATCTTAATTCAAGTTTCCCCACCATACCCACAGAAGAAGGCTGACAGGAGCAAATGAAGGAGCAGTAGTACCAGCTGCTGCCCAGGCGCCCTCTGAGTTAGATTTAGCAGGTCTTTACTAGACCCACTAAATTGAACTCCAGAAGATAGATCATAGCAGCAGCAATCTTCCCCCTCATGAAGACATGGCCTCAGTTTCAATCTGCACCTAGCCTTCTTAACCCTAGATCTGGCTGCATGGAGAAACTGACTAATCCTTCATTAATTTCCCTTTGTATATGATGCAGGAAGGAACTGGACTAATTCTAAACTCTTTATATTTTTGCTCTCTCCCCAGTTTCAGCTCTTGGCATTAGTTTAGGATGATCTTGCTAATTTTATTTTTGCTGTCCAGTTCCCCTATGAAAACAAGCAGCGGGGCAACCACTCTGATGTATGTTTAAGGCATGTAACTTAAAATAATATATATCAATGTTCCCTGTAAGTTGTGTCCTTTGACAGCCACCAAAGGGTATGTCTAGACTACATGGCTCCGTCGACAGAGCCATATAAACTAGTTTACCCGGCATAGGCAAAGAAGTGGGGATTTAAATAATCCTCACTTCATTAAAATAAACATGGCCGCCACGCTGTGCCGACGATCAGCTGATCCGGCACAGCGTGGCAGTCTGGACGCGGATCTGTCGGCTGGGGAAGCCATTGCCAACCGATCCTGTAAATCTCATTTCACGAGGCATAACGGATCGGTCTTTGCCTATGCCAGGTAAACTAGTTTACATGGTTCCGTCGATGGAGCCATGTAGTCTAGACATACCCAAGGAGAGATTCAAATGCTACTTAGAAGATTAGCAGAGCATCCTCACAGCCATACAGAGCCAGCAGCATGTGTTTCTATTGGTGGGGTCTCTCTGCATATGCCTTGGTGCATATAAAAATTTATTCTGCAAATGGGTGAAAAAAATTAGAGGGAACATTTATATATATGGTCAACTATAATAGTAAAATATGTTTTCAATACCCCAGTTAAATGGAACAAATATATGGCATGCCATTTTTTGTTATTTAAAACTCCCCTCTCAACCTTTCTTCCTCCAGCCTTTGGCATCACTGCCTCCCAATCTATAGGACATCCCAAAGAGACCTCAAAGTCATAACTAGACTATAATGGAATTTGAAGAGATAACAGGAATCTCTCTAGACCTATCTCCAAAGGGGGTTTTTTCACCACTGGATATGCAAGAGGAAATAAGGTAAAAATTAACTTTCACATAAAAAACCCCCACTGTGCAACGTTATACAACAGGCTCTGCCTTGCAGACTATAATTAGGTTGAGCCCAGTGCATGCTGAGGTATCATTTAGAAAAGGAGTTGATGGACAATGATGAAAACAAAACCACTGTACTTTTCTAATTACAACTGTGCTGAGTTTAATGTGTTAATTATCAGTTTACTTCCAAATACCCAAAGTAACACTATCACCTCAATGTAGTTGTGGGGCATGTGCTAGAAAAATACAGTGAAACAGAAGAATAAGATAAAATTCACTAAATTTAAAAAGGTGTTATTTTCTTACCCTCTCTTTTTCCTCCTCCTCTGGCTTCCTCTGCTTTTCCCATATCCCCCTTGATCTCACTCTTCTACCTTTGCACCTTCCACTTGATCTCTTTGACCCTCCTGAAAGCAGATCTTGCTTTCTGTTTACTTTGAATGCCCTCTTCCCAACCTCTCTCTCGCCTGAAAATCAGTGGACTATTAGCAAGGAGGGACAAAGAAGTGGCTTGCTTTGCTGGCAGAAGTCTGATTCGCTTTCATCAAGATTTACTGAACTTTTCAAATTATAACATTGTCTCTAGACTTTTGTTTCTTAAAATTGTCCACTTGGCTGCAAAAACCAAAGCAGTTCTGCAATGGTGAAAGTCTAGAGAAGTTAGTATAGACCATCTACCAGCACTTTGAGGATGTCAGAAATCATTTAATAATCATGTAACCATGCCAATTCTTAGAAGTTACGTGTTTATTCAGGGGCAGGGCCAGCAGCCCATGTGCTCCCAGCTGCTGGCCTCACTCCCAGGGAGCCCCTTGCCACTCCACATTGCTGCTTCTGTATCAGAGGCAGCGGTGAAGGGCAGTAGCAGCCTCTGTCTAACATGGATCCAGACTTGCCACGGACAAAGGTTGCTCTGTGGGATGCCAGAACAACCTCTGTCTGCATTAAGTGATTAAGGCACCAATAACTACCAGAAGGCAATTTACGTTCGTGAGCCATGTCAGCACTAACAGTGGAGCTCCAGTGCTAGTAGCAATAGGAGCATTTTAAGGAACAGGGCTATGTCTACACTGCAGGCTTCTTGTGCAAGACAGCGTCCACACTGCCATGTGCTTTTGCGCAAGAGTGCCCATGACAGTGTGGACGCTCTCTTGCACAAGAAAGCTCTGATGGCCATTTTAGCCATAGGGGTTTCTTGAGCAAGAAACCTGTTGCCCGTCCACACTGCCTTCTTGCGCATGAGCTTATTCCTCGTGAGAAGAATAACTCTTGAGCAAGAACCCCTGCTTTCCGACGCTTTACTGTAAACTTACATGCCGTACAAGGGACATGCCAAGGTCTTTTAGGGAGCCTAGAGGGATGGGGAAATGTTACTAGCACCATGACACCTTGGCTATGTCTACACTGGCAGCTTCTTGCGCAAGAACTCTTCCACAACAGAGCATCTACACTGGCATGTGCTTTTGCGCAGGAGATGTGCTTTTGCACAAGAGCATCCATGGCAGTATACACGCTCTCTTCCGCAAGAAAGCTCTGATGGCCATTTTAACCATAGGGGCTTCTTGCACAAGAAATTCACGCAACACTGGCCTCTTTTGGAAGCGCTCTTACGCCAGAGGGCTTATTCCTGGTGGGGGGAGGAATAACTCTTCCGGAAGAAGCCCTGTTGTCCGACGCTGTACCGTCCATTCACTTCTGGCAGCGCGCGCGTGCAGTGCAGACAGCCGGCGAGAGTTTGCAGCAGGGCCGTTCTCCCGCAAGAAGCTGCCAGTGTAGACACACGGGAAGGCCGCGGGTGCCCAAACTGGCTCCAGAGCAGGTCACACCAGGGTGAGGCAGAAGCGGGGGAGTCTCAGGGGACTGGCCAGCGCCCCACGAACACCCTCACTCCTCAGCGGCCACGTTTGCGAGGCCCGGGG